AAAAAAAAACTCTCATTTAGCTATAAATGAACATTTATAGATCCGAAGAGGAGATTAGTTTCTATCAAAATCAAACTGATTATTTTCCTCCACTGAGACTAACAAGAACCATAAGTACCTAGATAATAACAGAAAATCAAACTAACAGAACCACCTAGTGCAATAATTAGATAATAACTTACAGAGACAAATGAAAAAATCTGCTTGGATAATTTCCGACCATTAAACATGATCAAGAAAATAATTCATAGCAGTATATGGGAGAATAATTATAGCAGCCAGCAGACAAGAAGTTCCAAGTTTTTCATACCATCAGTAAGGAAGCAAAGAAGAAAATTAAGCAGATGCTTTAGACAGTATAGAAAGATATTTTAAACAAGATATTCAGAAAGAGATCACTTACCCCCTGGTAGAAACCAATAGCGACACCAAAGTATGCCAAGATAATTTGATTAGTCCGTTCAAAGATGTGTGCCAAAGGAAGATAGGATATGTAACTGTGAAAAATAAAATGCAATTCAAAAAACTATCCCAAGGCCTTCATAAATTAATGAAATTTATCTTCAATGTCTTAGCTAACGAAACATATATAACTCAGTCACTCACACATCAGAGGGATAGAATTTGATTGCACGACTAAATCCAGCAGCACTTGCAATAAAGTTCCCATGTGTCAATATAACTCCCTTGGCATTTAGAGAAGAAAAGAAGATTTGAAGTGCATCGTTTAGTATGTAGCAAGGCATAGAACAAAGTGACTTAGATTTCACAAATTAACTTTGGTGGCGGAAGAAAAGAGCTGAAGTGCAAGAAAGTTATGACTGATTACCTTCGGTGTTCCCGTAGTACCACTTGTGTAGCATATGGTTGCAATATCTTCAGGCTTAGCAGGGTAAAAGGGTTGCAGATTCCTGCGGCCCTAAAAGAAAACTATCTGTGAGTTTATGAGACAAAAATGCTTAAACAGATAAATCGGAAAAGCTGGGCTATAAAAGACGAAAACACTAAAAGATGGATATTGAATCTTTTGCATTCTAGAAGATAATAGATAATTGGTAAAGGTGCACAGATCAGACAAAGTATTATTTATTTATTT